TCATTCATTTCATATAGTTTATCGTTCGTATCTTATTCAATAGAGTATGCGAGTGAATAATAGATTAAATACATAAAAGGGCATGATATCTCCTCTTAATAATAATTTAACCGGTTTTTCAGTTTCTCTAGCTAAAAAAAAATTATTTTTAAAAATCAATTTATTAATAATATCTATAGATACTGATTATAAAATTATAATTGATGATATATATTGACGAGTAATAATTATACTGTTTTGGAAAGACTTAACGAGCCTTCCTTTTATATTTCCGTTGGTTAAATCTACTGTTAAAAATTGTTCCAATTTGTTAAATTGACTATTAATTACACACCCAAGCCCAAATATTTTAGGAAAAACAGCAAGTTTATCCTTGATTTCATGATTGTCCATTTCTTTTTTATTGTCTGATATATCAAATAAGTTTGCACCAAACGATGAGATCGCAATAACAACGATTCTTTTTATTTTATCTTTTTTCTATAGTTCAATAAGTGGATTAAACATATATAAATAGATAATGATGGTGATGATGATGATGAATCCACATACTCGGATTTCTATCCAAGATCCAGACTTCACATCATCTGTTAAACAATGAAGAACCATTTGTTGGAGATCCTTTTTCCAAAAAGAAAAAAACAAAAAAGGGAAAGAGAGATTATTTAAGTTTCTTTTTGAAAGATATATACTTATGTAAGACGTGATTTTATTAATATTATTATTACGTGGATATTGATTAATTTCTCTCTGATTAGGATTGATGGTCCAATGAATTTTTCTACTCCCTATATATTATTCAACATTTTCACAATCAGGTCATGGATAGATAAGAAAGATATGATTTACATAATAACAACCTCTCCTTCCTTTTTTCTCGTGTTATAATCAATTTGACTAACGAGGCTTTTATGATACACTATAAAACACGTAATATTATTAGAATTCAAAAAAGCATTTGAGCAGTGTGCTGATAAATATATATGATATGCATATTAAAATCATTTACGTTTTGTTCTTTTATTTGCTTGCATTTTGTTAATTTTTTAATAATAATGATGATGATGATGGTGATAATGATGATAAAGAGATTTTATTTTCTAAAATATTTTGTAATTTAATTTTTTTTTTTTGGAAAAAAAAAGGAAAAATTAATAATGTATATGATAAGATTTCTTGAGTAATAGTAGAAATATATCGAGGGGTATTGTATTACCCAAAAGGTCTCAAAAAGGATATAATGGTTAAATTCGCATGACGACGAATTTTTAAATTACGAGATAGAATTATTTTATTTGTTACCACATCAACGACGTTGGCGAACATGGTTTCCTGATTTGATGTAAGTTTTCAT